GTCAGCCTCTTGCACCACGACAAGGGGGCATTTTTGTCCTCCTCGGGCCCATTTCCAGCCTTCTCGAACTTCTGGTAGGCCTGTTTTTCGCCCTCCCTGAACCTCCGTGTACGCCCTGCACTTACCTGAATCCAAAACGGGCCGCATGGGGACTCCTGGGAGGGGCGGGGTGGGGTGAGCCAGCTAGGAGTGGGATTTGGGGATTCTCTGAACTGCACAGAATCTTAGCTAGAGGTTCTCCCGAACCCCTGCGAACCCCCAGCAGCCCACCCCTGTATATGTCAATATGTGTGGATTGTGTGTTCAGCATAGGTCCACTGGTTTAGCATTTCAGATTGCACAAAAGTAATGTGCTGCCAAGTGGTGCCCTATAGACACCTCCTTCCCTCTGTCTTTCTCTGAAGTAATTTGCTGATATTATAAATTTTCCCTTATTTGTACATACATACATACAGTACTACATACATACAGCATACATACAGGTATCATTATCTGTAGTCACTCTCAATATTATTACTAAGTCTCACAATTCTGTGGTACAAAAACCTTCTTAAGAACTAAAGAATAGAGGGATGTAGAGCTTACTCTTTTGATTGAAATTTCTACTACTAGTCAGGAAAATAAAAAATGGCTAAATGCCACTGATGTTGTATAGTAAGGAGAATTGATGATGGCAGGGAGGAAACTGTTGGCAAAATGTTGGTAGTGACTTGGTAAGAGAGGAGATGAAGAAATGGATGAAGACATAGGCTGGAAATGATCCAACAGGATGGGAATAAGAAGCAAGGAGACCAGGAGCCTTTCCAGACTGCTGAGTTAGAGTGGTTTCCACCTTCATCAAATTGGTACAAAATAACATTAAGATAAAATCTAGTATTCCCATTACCAACATCTCTCCTCCTTCTAACACATCTATTCCAAATCACTAAAGCAAGAGCATCTGCTATCAAGGGGTAAAATCCAGCAGGTTCTGGAGAACCGGCAGCAGAAATTTTGACTAGTTTGGAGAATTGGCAAATACCACCTTTCGCTGGTCCCACAGTGGGGTAGGAATGGAGATTTTGCAATATCCTTCCCCCCAGGAGCGGGGTGGGAATGGGGATTTTGCAATATCCTTCCCCTACCACACCCACCAAAACACACCCACCAAGTCACAGAACCGGTAGTAAAAAAATTTGAATTTCACCACTGATCTGCTTGGAAAGATGTGTGTGTGTCCAAAAGATTCCATTGCTGCCATCTTCATTTTTTTTTTTTTTTTGACACTGCAGAATGGTTTCACCTCTGGCTTTGTTGCTGTAAATTACCAGCCAATGGAGTAAATGGAATAAGTGGGAAAATAAATATCCCTTTAGGCCAGGAGTGGGCAACTATGGCCCTTTTATGACTTGTGGACTTCAACTCCCAGAATTCCTGAGCCAGCCATGTTAGCTCAGGAATTCTGGGAATTGAAGTCCACAAGTCATAAAAAGGCCATAGTTGCCCACCTCTGCTTTAGGCCTATTTCCTTTATGGGCTGGAAATAAGATAAGGGCAGTCTCTTGGGGCCCAGCCCAGGATGGAAACTTCCCCTGTCAGGGCCTGAGGATGTTGTGCTTAATTGCATGGGCACAGTGGACCTGTGGAGAGCAATAAGAATAATTAAGAGGAAGGGAATTTCCTCTGTTTTGTAAGTAATAAAGTGAACATATTGAACTAATGAATACCTAGAGAGGCAATACGTTCATTAGTTCAATATGTTCACTTTATAATAATTGATGCCCTTCAAGTTCCTAGGATGTTTTTTAAAAATCGGGCAAGGTGGTTCAAAGCCAGGAAAAGAAAAGTGGCTGATTTTTGGGTTAAGATTATAACAATGGCATCCTTAGATGATGTTTGGCCATGTTGATCAACCCACACCCACTAATTCTCTTCCCAGAAACTGAGTTTTGGATCTGATATGGGGCCAGAAAGCCTATAGGTGGAGGGGTCCCTTGCAATTCACCTCCTGAGGAGCTCTTTCAAATTTATCAAAACTTCCTGCTGTCTTGGACAAAGAACTTTATCAAGGTCCATGAGGTAGAACTGCCTCATGTGGTGAGATTGTAACTGGATTCCCTTACATGCAACACAGAGTGTCTAATCTTCCATTGGGAGCAATATCTGTTTGTCAGTATCCCACAAAATGACATGAGAACTAGAACTGAACAATTCTGATTTCCCCCAATAGAAATAAAGATCAGCTCCATATAATATAGTATTTCTTCTACTAATCAATCCCAACCAGCAGTCCAAAATACGAGGAGAGTATCAAGTTGAGGACATCATTTAATTTAAAAATGTGTGCGCGCGCGCTTGAGTCCCATTGCACACATAGGCACAGTTATATGGTTTGATTATTTTTAATGCATGTCTAAAACATGTTTTATAGAAAGTAGGTAATAATACTTTATGTATAAACTTTTATGCAACAATTGCCTGTGGTTTGATTTTACACATTGTTCTCCAAAATCGGATGTGTGAGACCGTAAAATAAATTTTTTTTGGCTTAGTATATAATTTTATGTTGTTATTAATGAAATAAAAATATATCAAAAGTGATAATTTAGTATTTTCTATTTTTCTGATATGAAACCCAGTATCTTACATAAATGTATTTAGAAAGCAGTCCAAATCCCCATAGATTATCATATAATATTAAACTGTACTGTCTTCAAATGCAAGTAGTTGAACATACAAGGAGAGGGTGATGAAGATTGTTAAAACAATTGTAACAACATGTGCAAAGTGAATAAAAAATTAAATTTGTTTCTTAGTTGAAGTTGGAGCGCTTCAAAACCACTCATAGATTTCAAGAAATTAAAAAGTTTGGCATCTGACTGAATCAGAAGGAATGGAGGTTCAGATTGGATATCCAGATTACTAACTATTTCATAAGCTTTTGGAGCATGAATTCTGGCTGGATGGCGACAATTTCAAAGTGAAAGAAACGTATCATTTAAAAAAAATGTTTATTACATATTTTACAAAGTAAAAGACAAATCTAATGAAAAAGACAGAAAAGATAAAAAACAAACAAAAACGTGCAAGAAAAAATAAAGCTAAGAAATACATTTTTCACCTTCTCTTTAATAGATATTGACCAATCCATCAGCTCCCATCCTTCTTATATCTTCCAAAGATCTACAACTCTATATTAAATTCTCATCTTTCTCAATCATTAAATCCATAAATCAGCATTTCACTTTTTTCTTCTTCATAACAGGTCTCCTAAAGTCTTGAAAAAGTACTTGTTATTTTCTCTCTGACCAAACAGGTCAGTTTTACCATTTCTGCTAATTCTGACAGTTTTACAATCCATGGCTCCATTGTGGGAATTTCACAATACTCTTCCATCTTTGTGCATTTAATAATCTCGCTGCATTGTTATATACAAAACTATTCATGAGTCTTTTCTAATTTAGTATCCATAAATCCTAAAGAATTTTTTTCTGATTTCTTTGCAGTATTAATCCTTAAAATTCTTTCTATCATTGTATGGAATTATATCCAAAATTTATTGGCTTTTTCCTGTCCACAGTGCATGATAAACTGTTCTTTCATGTTTTTCACATTTCCAACATTGACTTCAGGCACCTTTATACATATTTGATAGGATCTCTGGTGTCACGTACCAACAATGCACCATTTTATAAAAAAATTCTCTCCAGCTATAACACAATGTAAATTTTATCCAATTTATCTAAGTTCTTTCTCCTGTACCCAGCTATATATCACAACCAAAATTGGCAGCCCATTTTAACATACAATCCTTAACTTGTTCCCTTTCTTTTTTGAAATCTTAACAAAAGTTTATATATTTTTGCAATCATCATATGTTCAGCATTTGTACATAATTCGTTTTCAAATTCCATTTTTATGGGGTTTTTTTTTTTCTCATCTTGCCTGTATTAAATCTTTCTTTTAATTGGGCACAAAAAAACCCCATTGAAAATGATGTTCATCTGCAATTAATGGTTCTCTTGACTTCATCTTAAATTTGCCATCCTTAAAGAAAGGAATGGTACATTTTAATGTCTTTGCATTTCTGTAGGATAACCATAGGTGCATCAATTTTCATTCTGACTGATGACAATAGATTTTTGTTATTTTTCAAAATGATTAGAAATGACTAATACTTTCATTGTCCAGCTATATACTTTTTACAGGCTGGAGATGCAGTCAGATGCTGAAGAGTTTCCCTCCCGGCTCCTGGAGTTTCTATGTCAAGTGGGTCTGAATCAGCCTGCTCAATTAACACAGATCAGTTTTGTCTGGCAGCACCAGGCAGCACTGTATGGTCCTTTTGTCATGAAATATGAATGTCACAAACAGCAGCCATCTCTGTGGTGAGAACAACACCCAAGGTGGCTGTTTCCCTTGCAGGATATTTGAGGGGAACTGAGAAGAGACCACCACTGTGGAGCTATTATGCCCTTGCAATTAGGAGGGGCAATGCTTTTATTAATTATCTTCCCACTACTAGTTTAATTATCATCCTTGCCATCACAGATGCTCCCCTCTGCTCGGGGCTGAGAGCTGGATTTGTTCATGACTTACATTGTCCCTTCTACTCTTGCCCTGTATGTGTTGAAGTAATACTCTAGGCTGAAGTGCTTCTGGTAACAATGATGATAGGAAAGTAGTGTGAACACTAGAGTGTGTGTGTGTGTGGGGGGGGGAAGGGAAGTCAGGGGAAGGGAAGAAAAGAAAAAAAGTCACGGAGAAGGATAAGAGGTTCAGGGGATGTCATACATATACTATCAACTGATGTAAAAAAAATGAAAGGTTTTGCCTCAAAAACATAATCTGTGTGCAGTCTAAATCTTTTGTCAGATGAAAAATTTCTCAAAATAATTGTTCCTCAAGCATTTAGAGGACCATGAAATGCATTTATTTATGATTTTTATCCCACCTTTATTTATAAGTAACTCAAGGCGGCAAACATACCTAATACTCCTCTAATTTTTTACCACAACAAGAACCCGGTGAGGTCGGCTGGGCTGAGAGAGAGTGATTGGCTAAAGGTTACCCAGCCAGCTTTTGCAGCTAAGGTGAGACTAGAACTCATAGTTTCCTGGTTTTATTTTGCATTCATTTATTTATGCATTATTGGTTAGTTAGTTGGCTTGTTGGGTGTATTGTATATCCTGCTTTTCCTTCAAGATTAAGATGGCTTCCCTGGGGACTCTCCCTTCATTTTATTCTTCTACTAGCTATCTTATGAGGTAGGTTGGGCTGAGAGGAAGTCAGAGAAGTCACCCAAAGGATTTCCATGGCTAAGAGTAGACTTGAACCTAGGTCTTGTCAGCCCAAATCCAATGTGGCCACTGGAACAAAAGTGTGCAGGGCCTTATGACCAAGGACTGTATTTTACTTTTAATAGGCAGAACTGGAATTTTAAACACTAGGCATGATGCTAGTTCAGTTACATTTAATTCATCCATATGAGTCATTGCCATGTATTAAAACATTAAATTCAAATGTTCTTTTGGCTGCCAATTTCACCCTTTCCATCCCAATAGATTATGCTTCCCAAAGGTGCTTTTCCAAAAGGCAAGTGATTTTCTTCCAAGAAAGCCCAGCTGCCTTTTAGAAAAGCATCTTTGGGACAATCGTGACCTGGATGACTGACAGTCTCCATAGACATTATGCTTCTAAAGATTTCCCCTCTCCCATCCAGCTACATCTTGGTCCACAGTCCACTACATTCACTTCTTCCCACATGTTCTGCTGGCTGAGTTTATAGTCACCACTTTGGTATCATCTCTGCAGCCCAGAAATCATCTACTAGTTGCTCGGCCATCTGATGTCTCTGCAATTCCACTGATTTGTTGATATGCTCTGCAATTTTCTCCAGCTCAGCCTTTCTTTGTGTTCAAAAACTCTTAGATATCGTTAGTGCCATTTCATATTCCTTTGGTGAAACTTAGAAATGCCTCTCTTCTAGAAGTTATATTCTAAAAGTTCAGTTTCCATCTGATTCCGACCGGACACAGGTGAGGTCTTATATCAAGACCTACCTAGTGGCGATAAAAGCGGCGAAATCTAACCATTTTTCCGCTCTTATCGCATCTGCAGAGAACCGCCCAGCCGCCCTGTTTAGGGTGACCCACTCCCTTCTTCGGGGGGGAGTGCGGGAAGATCCCTTGCAAGGCCGCGCTGAGGATTTTGTGCAATTCCTGCATGATAAAGTCGCTCGGATTCGGGATGGCTTGGACTCCGATTGGATGAGTCCAGGGGAGGAGACAGGGGCAGGCCTTGAGAATATTATCTGGGAGGAGTTTGATCCTGTGGCTCCCGAGGATGTGGACAGGGTTCTGGGTAGGATTAGTGCCGCCACATGTTTATTGGACCCGTGTCCCTCCTGGTTGGTACTGGCCTCCCGGGAGGTTACACGAGGCTGGCTCCAGGGGATTATAACTGCTTCTCTGAGTGAGGGTGCCTTTCCCGCCGCCTTGAAAGAGGCGGTGGTGAGGCCCCTCCTCAAGAAGCCTTCCCTGGACCCGGCTGAATTAGCTAACTACCGTCCGGTCTCCAACCTTCGTTTTGTGGCGAAGGTTGTTGAGAGTGTGGTGGCACGACAACTGCCCGGGCACCTGGATGAAGCTATCTATCTAGACCCGTGCCAGTCGGGCTTCAGGCAGGGGCACAGCACAGAAACGGCATTGGTCGCGTTGGTGGATGATCTCTGGAGGGCTCGGGACAGGGGTTGCTCCTCTGTCCTAGTCCTATTAGATCTCTCAGCGGCTTTTGATACCATCGACCATGGTATCATGCTGCGGCGGTTAAGAGGGTTAGGAATAGGGGGCACCGTTCTGCGGTGGTTCTCCTCCTTCCTCTCCGACCGCTCGCAGTTCGTGTTGGCAGGGGGGCAGAGGTCGACCTCGAGGCATCTCGCATGGGGAGTGCCACAAGGGTCGGTCCTCTCGCCCCTTCTGTTCAACATTTATGTGAAGCCACTGGGTGAGATCATCCGTGGTTTTGGGGTGAAGTGTCATCTGTACGCTGATGATACTCAGCTGTACATCTCCACCCCAGACCACCCCAACGATGCCCTTGATGTGATGTCTCGCTGCCTGGAGGCCGTGCGGGTCTGGATGGGGAGGAACAGGCTCAGACTCAACCCGTCCAAGACCGAGTGGCTGTGGCTGCCGGCGTCCCGATATAGTCAGCAGGTGCCATCGCTGACTATTGGGGGTGAATCTTTGCCCCCCACAGAGAGGGCTCGCAATCTGGGTGTCCTCCTGGACGCACGGCTGTCTTTAGAAGAGCATATGACGGCCGTGGCCAGGGGGGCCTTTTATCAGGTTCGCCTGATCCGCCAGTTGCAGCCCTTTCTGGACCGGGACGCCTTGCGCACGGTCACTCATGCCCTTGTCACCTCCCGGCTGGACTATTGTAATGCTCTCTACATGGGGCTCCCCTTGAAGAGCACTCGGAGGCTCCAACTGGTCCAGAATGCGGCCGCGCGGGTGGTTATGGGCGCAACTCGTTGTGCCCGCATGACACCCCTCCTGCGCGAGCTGCACTGGCTCCCAGTGGTCTTCCGGGTGCGATTCAAGGTGTTGGTTACCACCTTTAAAGCGCTCCATGGCATAGGACCCGGGTACCTTCGAGACCGTCTTCTGCCACCAATAGCCTCCCACCGACCAGTCCGCTCCCACAGAGAGGGTCTCCTCAGGGTGCCATCAGCCAAGTTATGTCGGCTGGCGACACCCAGGGGGAGGGCCTTTTCTGTGGGAGCCCCAGCCCTGTGGAATGAACTGCCCCCGGAAATACGCAAGATCTCCGACCTCCGAGTGTTTCGTTGCGCACTGAAGACCCTGTTGTTCCGCCAGGCAGGGCTATCAACTTAATAATTTTAATTGGGGTATTTTAAATGTTTGGGGTTTTAAATCGGCCAAATCTATGTAATTATTTTAATTTTTAATTATTGTTGTGTGTTGTGTTTTTAAATTGGCTGTACACCGCCCTGAGTCCTTCGGGAGAAGGGCGGTATAGAAATAAAATTATTTATTTATTTATTTATTTATTTATCTACTTTGCTAGGCCTTTCATAAGGCTTTAAAAATGTGACTGTGTACCCAGGCCTGAGGCTTGGAATCTGTTAAGGGTCCTGTTTATTGGCTTTACTGTTATTTAGTTAACTATCTCAATTGCTACATAGATTTATTTTTGGATGTTTTATTATTTTTAATTATTTTAACTGCTTTACAGTTTTAAAATTGTAAGCTGCCCAGAGTCACTTGGCTGATATGGGCAGCTATAGCAATTGAATGAATAAATAAATAGAATAATATTATTTGCCTGAAATATTAAACTCTGTGGTTATGGTTCACCTGAAATTTCCTCTGTGTGAATTCTTGTATCAAATATATTCCAAAATATAAAACTGTGTCCCAATATAAATTCAGGAGCTTTGAGATCATATTGGCTGGCAAAATGGTTTTTATTAGTCAAGGACTTGCTAAAGGTTGTCAGATTAAGATCCTAGCCTAAAAAATTGACCATACTTCCAAACTCTTTTTTTCTGCAATAAATATTCTTGCCAAGTTTTCTTTTCAAACTTCTGGAATCTTGATGGAATAATTATATCCACTGTGACATTTCTTGTACCTAATTTGATGGCAAGCTCCTAAGAAGAAATTTCCATTTCAAAAATTGTCAGGTTCTAGCTGCAAAGTTTATTTTAGCCTGACCATAAACATCCAAACCTAACTATGACAATGCCAAAATTATTTTTAAAAAATGCATTGTGACTTTTGTGATCCCAAATTCTGCAAATTGGTTGTACTTGCAAACCAAAATTACATGCAAGTATACCACAGGCAGAATTTGCACCTTGATGTATTGAAAATACCGTAATTCATTGCTTGCCTTCCCTTTTGCCTTCTTCCGGTGCATGCCGCTCATATCCGTTACCATCCCCTTTACTTTTGACACCAACTTGTCACCCAGCTTCCAAAAAGTAGAAGAAAAGACTGCAGACCTCTGCTATTTTATTCGGTGGACAGGGGATCTTTGCAGAATTCTGTGTTAGCACTATTAGGTATGAAATGGCAACAGTGGGGATCTATAACATCAAATGTAATAGCCCTGTGTTTCCTTATTGCAGTGTTCTGAAGATAATAAGGTTTGTCAAACTGAAGTAGCCCCGTTTTTTCTCATTTCAGTGCCCTGAAAATAATGAGAAAGTTGAACTGGTGATTTTGTTGTTGTTGTTTATTTGCCTGTTTCTCTATTTGTCAATTTCAGTATTTCAATAACTTCTCCAGTTTCTCTGAAGTAGAAGATGTGGATGCTAAGTTTCAGTTCTTCTGTTCTACAAGTAGTTACTCATAGTTTTGGACTTACCACCACAATTGGAACCAAAATTTCTGTTGCTAAATAAAATGATTGTTAAGTGAGTTATGCCCAATTTTTCCTTTTTTGCCATGATTAATAAGGGAATCATGCAGTTGTTAAGCAAATTTAACTTCTCCCATTGATTTCGCTTGTTGGAAGCCAGCTGGGAAGGTCACAAATGATGATCAGATGACCCCAGATTCTACAACTGTCGTAAATACATGTTGGTTGCCAAGCACCATAATTTTGATTATGTGACTATGGGGATTCTGCAGCAGTCATAAGTGTGAGGACTGGTTGTAAGTCACTTTTTTCAATGCTGTTGTAACTTCAAACGGTGACTAAACAAATGGTGGTAAGTCAAGGACTACTTGTAGTTGCACAATCATGGCAGGGTCTGTCACCTATCTTTATTTCTGTCCTGGTGTCTTCCAATACCTACCTACCTACCTACCTACCTTCCTTCCTTCCTTTTTTCTTTCTCATTATTTTAGATGGCCAAAAGAAGTATAGAATGAGGTTACGATGAGGCAGGCTAGACAGGCTCCAGCCAGAATTCTGAAGTCATATTTATCTGCACTGTCCCACTAGTGATTGGGGACATGTTGAATGGAGACAGAAGCAAAGCCAGAGGAAAATAACTGGCTTTAAAAACTGCAAACACAATTTGTCAGTAGCAT